CTATGTTTCCTGTGTTTTGTTAGTATTAATTGCTCCCACCTGCCACTTGTTCCCTAATCACCTGTGCCCTCTTGTATTCAAGCCCTGTCAGTTTTTTGTTGTGTGTTGGATTGTCTGCATATCTCTTTCCCTGAGCCTGGTCTTTTTTGTTAATTTTGGTTTCAATTTGTAAGTGGTCACAATTAATAAACTGTCAATAAAATGTGAAGGGTATCCAACAAAATCTAATGTTCCATAAAGATATGAATCATTAATATTGTTAAACCTTTAATATCCGGTTAACTCTGGAAATAGGTACTTCGGGTAGCCAGTGTCACGAGTGCGGGGCGAAGTAGAGTGATTGAGGTGAGGATCCAAAGGTGCAGAGGAAAAAGGCAGGCAGGCAGGCAGGAACATTCAAAAGGTTTTAATGATGAGCACACGAGACACTGAAACGATGAACGGACAAGGAACACAGAACCGAGAGGGTTTAAATACAAGTGGAGCTGGGATCTAAAGTGATTGGGAGATGAGAGGCAGGTGGGAGCAATTAGGGAAGACACAGGACTGAACAGAATGGTGTAGAGTCCAGAAATGGTCAGTTTTTCATCTACAGTTTGACCTCTTCAGTATCCGGTAATATGGAGACATAAGTCTGCATCTGGTGCCTTTAATCTGCAAGAAAGATTCTGCAATGCCTTGGCACACACGATAACAGATTATCAACAAACTGTTGCTTCACCGAAGTCTCTCTTAAAGCTTCCCTCTTATCTCATACTGCCGTGCTTCACAGAACAAAGGATGAACTTTCATAATTAAATCATATAATGAAATGATCATTATGAGTTAATTAATCATATAATGAATAGACAAGGTGTTAAATGAAATGTTTTGATTAATCTGTGCTTAAATTAATAAGGTTGATTAATTTGTGCTTAAATTAAAATGGATGAAATGAATGTCCTTGCAATATCCGTTTGCCTGATAATCAGCGTATGTGACTTGACAAGTTCACACACTCATACACACGTGCATATCACAAGGCTAAAGTTAACATCACTGCACATTAAGTTTTCTTATCCACCAATCAAAGCATCTTTTATCTGAAGGAGGAGTGTTCTGAGGTTTGCTTGGTAAAACCTTCTTAACATGGCAAGTTGTGATTTGCCATAAAATCATAACATAGGAATAATAAAACACGATCACTTCCCGAGTTATTCAGTTCATTGAAGTTCATCGAGCTGAGTGGAGTTTGTTTCCAGCTGAGATTCCGGAGTGGCCAATCTGGAATCAGCCTCTTTGAAACATCTCTCTGACATACAGTCAAAACCTTTTTGCACGCTGCAAAGCTAACAGTAAGACTCCTTAAGAGTCCAACCGTTTGAGACGCAAAACGAGTCCACCTGTTTGTTGTGACCTGGAGACGACGCTGGACTGACCTGGTCGTACTGCGGTTTTTCCTGCAAATTTCGGTACCTTGGGGTCACCCGACCCCCCGACATCTCAGATCCAAAAGAAAGTCTCCGAAAGTGTACGTAGGCACAGCAAGATTGCGTCTGATGTGGTTCTATAAATTATCAACTCTCTAGTTATAGCAGATCAAACTCTTTACACCCAGAACTCACAGTTTCTTTTAGATACAAAGGTTCTGATCACCCGTCACCACATTCCATTCACACATCACATTCCATCACACATCAGAATTCATAGCTTGTCATGTTTATAATTAGTCTAGAAAATAAAGTTTATTTTAATTATATACTTGACTCTGTCTGAAGTGTGTTTATGGTCACTGATTAAGCAAAGAACTTTAAATTCTTCTGGTTAAACATTCAAAGATCAATTAGGTTGATACTCTATATTTATATAGAATCATCACATCTTATTGATCATAATTTAACACTCCTATTGTAGTCTTCTACAGTGGGGAGATAGGACAGGTTATGCCAGCCAGGGGACCAACACTTATCAGTAATTTGAAACAGAAGCAAAAATACAGTTTATAAAAATCAATTTATTACTATATTTCTACGACTGATGATTATACAGAATAGCTGGAGGTAAATGATTATTCAAGATAATATCAACTGAGACAATAACCAAACTCTAATGAAACATGATCTTGGATGTTATCAAGAGTCTAATTAAGTGTTTTAGGAAATATGTGAAGTCTGGGATTACAAGTATAATCTGGCTGAATTCAGTGATGTTTTATTAGTTATCAATTAATCATAACCCTTACTATTTCCTTTACTGTGTGGTCTAAATATGATATAACTGTCATTGTTAATATACTAACATTAATATGTGACATGACTGAAAATTAAACCATCATTAATGAATCAAGTAAATTAGTTTGGTGGATTTAAGATCCAAAAGTATGCATTTCAACAATAAACAGTTATTTTGATTCATTACTACTGTCAAGCAAGACTCAAGACAACTTTATTAATCCCCGAAGGGCAATTTGAGACAGATTTGTGAAGCAGCAGACACTAAAATCTCCAGGCTCTAAAACTCAATCAATTTACATATTCGTAAAACCCATAAAATCTATATATGCATTCACCTCATACCTTTACATGTGAATGATCAACTATGAGTAAACCTTTATGCTCGCTCTTACTCTCAAACTCCCTCACACATACGCACATACAAATACATATGCATACATGTAAGTACATGCACACACACATACAAGTGACGCACACACTCCCCATCTGTACTAAGTATTGAGAAGAAGTGCAGCTCTGGGAACAAATTAACTTCTCCTCTATGTTTTACACATTGACATACATATAGGTTTTACAGCATGGGCATCAAAGTCGGCATTTGGAGGGCAGCCACTCAAAAACAATATGAAGAGGGTGTGAGGAGTCTTGAAAAGTGATTTTCTGTGCAGAGCAATCAAGTCTTATTAAATTCATTTTAGATAAAACATGCATTGTAATTTATCTGTAAAGTGAGAAAATCATTTTATAAAAAGAATATGATTCTTTTATTAAGGTTAAAAATGTTGTCTTCTGAAGGAGCTGTCTTGTGACTTGCAGCAGAGAGAAATGTTGTTATAGCGAGGGCTTTTGTTATGGCGGTTCCCCCAGATGGCGAGGCCATAAACGATGCATTTGTTCTGGTTTGGAAAGCACACAATTGACCTTTAGCACACTGATGACCTTTAGCCATGCACTGACTTTCTTACACTACACTGACATCACCACAAATTAAAGAGACTTTAAACTTTCTACAGTTGCTCCTGTGTTCTCTCACCTGCTTTGGATCCAAACACCCTCACATCATGACAGAACGATTCGACCAGCAAGAATCCAGTGGTGCGATGATCTTTGAGAGTATTGTCAGAGGAAGGCAGAGGAATATGAGTGATCCCATGCTGGTGCACCCATTTTCACTGCGGGTGGTCAGCAAGGCCTTTCTCCTTCTCCTCTGCTTTGTTAAAGACGTCTCCGCCGCTGTACGCCTGCTCCCCTGGTCCAGCCTGACGGTCCTTGGTCCATCTTGCTGGGTTAGATGGGATGAGATCCACAGAGACATTTCCAGGTTCGCTGGATCCAGGCTGGTGCTGTGCACTCCGGGGTTTGGTCCACATCGCTAGGAGCAGACACCACCATCTCCTCTGCCAAAAAAATGCTGCCGGCTCAGTCCAGCTCCTCCTAATGCCACCTCCTCTTCTCCAATGGGTCAAAGGGGTTCCACGCCACAGCGACTAAAGGTCCGTGCTCCATCACTATCCCCTCCAGGTCAGTGTTGCTGGCAAGGCGCAACTCCTCCTGACGCCATCTCCAGTCTTCTGGTGGGTCATGTCCCTAAAGGTTTTGCTTCCTCACCTCATGCTCTGCGCTCATGGATTGGGGTCACTCCTCCTGACGTCTCTTCCTCAACCCTGGAGGGTCCGTGGTGATCCACACCGAAGCCTGGGTCAGAGGTCCAGCTATCTCCTGTGGCTCCGCCAAGGTCCAGCCTTCTTCTGAACTCCGTTTCTTGTGATTCTGCCTTCTGAGGGGTTGCAGACTGAGATGGTCCCACCTCCGCCAGAGTTCAAGACTGAGGTGTTCCCGCCTCCACCGGGGTTCCAGTTCCTGGGTCTTCAGAGTGTTCCAGTCATCAGAGTCTGAGTTGCCTGTTGTCCAATCTCTTCCTGGGTTCAAGTCTGAGTGGTTCTGCACACCATTGTTTTTCCTGTGAAATTCTCAATAAGTTTGATGTGTCACATGACCCTCTTATTATTGAAAAAACAAATGTTGGATCCAAGATGGCCAACTTCAAAATGGCCACCATGGTCACCACTCATCTTGAAAAGTTTGCCCCCTCACATATACTAATGTATATCACCAACCATTCCCATTTTATTAAGGTGTATCGATATAAATGGCCCACCCTGTAGATCACTTGAATGACAATTGCATCATGACAGATACCGTACTTGCAGTGTACAAACTACACAGTGGTGTCCAGGGTAGTCCAGTGAAATAGGGGGAGGGAGTGTCTATTTTGCCTTGGCCCCCAAAATGCCTTGAAATGGCCTTGGGTGTGCGGGACTGAGTTTTGAAGGTAATCTGAATTGAATCAAATATATAAATAGTACATGCATATAAATTATTACTTCATAAAGTAAAAAAGTGTAGTGGGATAAAGAAAGAAGAAGAATTAGCTAATGCTAATAGCTAATAAGTTGCTTTAGCCCCAATTACCTTATGCCTGAGACCACACTGGTCATACATAGTTCTTGATCTTAAAGGAGCAGTTTTATGTTGCAAGACTCAGAGTTGTTTACATCATGAAGATATTTGGCCTTTTAAAATAATCATTGAAGGTTTAGAAATGGAAAGTTTAATATCACTATCTTTAAAAGTTGAGTTTTACTGCATATTGTTCTAGGTAACCCTCCTGAGTCAGTAAATGGTAAATGTAATTTTATTGAGTTTATAAGAAATTGTTGTTTTGTTCTATTGATATTTCCTTGATATTTAACATGCTGCAACAAAACACTAAAATAACCTCTCCAATGATGTTGGATGTTTTTTTAATTGCAGTTTATTTATAGTTACAAATAAAACAAATTACATTAGTGGTTGACAAGAGATGGTTGTCTTAAGAACACTTGGCAGTACAGCTGCAGGAAAGGTGAGCCTGTGTGGTTTCCCTGATGTCCACACTTCTGTCGAAGGGGTTGGTATCAGAATCTGTAAAAATGAGAACAAATTGGTTAGAAACTGTATTTTAACATTGGTTTTATTTTCAATCTCCTTGATTTTAATTCTGACTCACCAATAGACTGACAGCTGAAGCCAACATTGACAGAGGTGGTCTTAGTTGGGATGCAGCCAGGCAGACAGCGTGGCACAGGCTCAACAGAGTAGCATTTGGTGTTGTCACCATGGATGGTCACCTGTTTCTCCATCTGCACTGAGTCAAGCTTCAGACGACACTCTGTGAGAGAAAAGGGTTGATAAAAGAGTTTAATACAGATTCTTTGCAAATGCATCTTTGGGATAGGATTCAGACTTTTTAAATTTGTGTCTGACCAGAGTTATCCCTGCAGCTCTCGGAGGGCAGGATCCAGGAATGAGCGAAGCTCACTGAGTTCTTGGCCAGACGCCCGTTGGGTGTACGATACTCCTGTCTGATTTCCCCATCAGCCTTTCCACAGAGTCCACAGGTCTTGCCTTTCATCCAGTCCACAACTTTGATCTTCAAAGCAAAATTAGATGAAACATTAGTAGCTAGAATTAATCTGACATGTTTGAAATGTCCTTGTCTCAGTTCTAATCTTTTGAATATATAGATGCTCCTTTTTACCTTCCATGAATCATTGTCGCAGTAAACTTCTTGGAGACCATGGCTTGGTGCATACACAACAACACCATCTTCGTGGCGTCTGATCTCAATGGAAGCTATAAAACAAATGGTATGGTTCATTTTTGGAAAAGGTTATTCAATACACATTGCTATTACTGTGGCTTCAAAGTGGGAAAATACAAATGATTTTGTTGAAGTTAATGATAATCATGCCATATAAACTTGTTAAAGAAACCTGTTGGGTGACGGTATGGCAGACTGGTGAAGGGAATTTCCATTCCATTGACATGAACAGTCACATTGTGTTTCTCTTGCAGCAGGTCAATGTCTCTACAAGCATTACGGAGAAAACATTGTTAGGATTGGTTGGCTTACAAAGGATAATCAAAGATTTGTTCTTGCTTGTGTTGTAAACTTACATGTCAGCAATTTTGACATTGATGTGATGTTGTTCCTTGGAGTCCTTCCTCAGGAGAACCATGAATTTCAGTTCTTCTGTGCAGTCCTGGGCCAGAACCTGGTAGCAAGATGAGGGCATCTCATGTGTGTAGGTCCTGTTGTTGAAGGTGGTCAGTTTGTCGTCGAGGTAGCTACATTCAGCTGGAAGAAAACAACCAAGAAGTGCTTTACAATTTTCTGGGCTACATTCAATTTGGTGCATTACAATTCTAGACATACCTGCAGCTGCCTTGGTGATCAAGAAGTGAACTTTCTCAAAGACTTCATCAAAGGGGATGTAATGTTTGAGCTCGTTGATTGGCATGGAGACAGGCAGATGCAGACTCTTCTTGTAGGTAGTATTCTGTGATCATAATAAATCTCAGTTATCACAAAAGCCTTAATGTAACATTGTTTTGGCAGAACTACATGAAGTTTCATACCATTGGTGTTTTTACAATGAAGTCAACTATCTCATCAGACTCTGCAGCCACAGTGATGTAGATCTGCCTGGTGCTGTTTTTGCTCTTTGTGTGAACCAAGTCATCCAGGATTTCAGAATCAATGTATTCGTCTACCCTGTTGAAAGACAGTTTGAAATGTCATGTTGTCTTTAACATAATACCCATATTGATGGTCATACAGAAGAATGCATAGCTTTTCTTACATTTTTCCATAACGTCTAAGAGCAGATGGAAGTCTCTCCCAAGAAAGTCTGAGGCGAGCTGCAGGGCTTGAACCAACAAGACCCGTCTCTCCTGTAACCAAGGTGCTGTATCGCTTGCATTCTTCTCCCCAGGCTACTTTAGCCTATTAAGACAAAGAATTACTTGCTTTATGGTAAAAGCAAACTTTTAAGTTTTAGTGAAATGAGACGACGGTGCCTTACAGTAACTTTGTGCTGGCTCAACAGAACTCCATCAGCACAGAGCCTCCACTTGTCCTCAGGAGCAAGGGCAGCAACAATAAGCTGAACCCTGGCAGTTGGTTTGTCCAAGTAGGCAGCAATTTGATAACCCACCATCTTCTTGTTTTTTTTGACTGCACGGAGGATGACGACCAAGACAATATCTTCTTCATCAAGGCCCTTGTTCTGCAGAAACAGGTATGCCTCATTACTTCTGGTTGACACTTAAAACTATCCAAGAAAAGGTCTGAATACTTTGATGAGTACTGTTATGTCCGATGACCAAACTTTACCTTTCTGTAGATTTCCTCAAAGCTAGCAGCACTGCTTCTGCTTTCAGATGCTTCTGTGGCAGTGACAATCTGAAACAAATTATTGAGATTATAAAGAAGCAGGTCAAAATTAATGTTATTTCTTTTTCCAAAGATTGTTGATTGATCATGAAACTTACCAGCCTCTTGTGGTTCTTCTGGAATTTTTCAATCACTTGCTGTTCAAGAAGAAGCATAATTATCAGGGTTAGGATTCATTTCTCAAACAAAATTTGATGATGTCCAAATAAACATTCAAGATCAAAACCGGCTTTTACCTTGGAGTCAAGAGCGCTGGAGCTAGAGGAACTTGAACTGTCACTAAAGAGAGATGCAAGGCTTGATGCAGAGCTGGTCCTGGCTGAATCACTGACAGATCTGCTGCTGCTACTGCTGCTACTGCTGCTGCTGCTGCGACGGCGGCTGCTGCTGCTGCTACTACTGCTGCTGCTGCTGCTGCTGCTGTTGCTTGGCAAAACAGCTGCATTGATGTTCTTTCTGATTGAACGAGATGAAGAGCTGGAAGAGACAGAAGATGTCCTGGAGGAACGGCTTGAAGAAGAGCTTCTGGAGCTGGCAGAGGATGATGATGATGATGATGATGATGATGATGATGATGATGAGCTGTTGCGTCTGGAGGACAGGATCTTGTTGAGCTTCATCAGGACTGGTCCTGCATCTTCAACATTTTCTTCTTCATCTAAATTGATGCGCTTAATGAGCTTCTCAGCAGCCTTTGACCCAACTTTAACCTCCATCTCCAGCCTCTCAACTTCTTCACCTTCAACTGAAACAATTGACACATAGTATCAGTATTGCTTTACCGGTGTACAAAATGCTCAGAAGAGAAGTTTTCTAAGTGCTTACTTGGTTTAACAGAAAATGAGATATTGCGTTGCAGAACCAGATTGTACAGGGTTGTGTTTTTCATGAAATCAACACTTTCAGTTTCAACCTTGAAGCAGGCCCTCAGTCCAACACCGTGGTTCTTAATACAGTATCTCTTTGCAAACGGACGAACTTTGTAGTTGACAATGGGGTTGGCTTCAGATTCCAGGGGAAGGATCTCTGAGGACTTTGACTGTACAGAGAAACACATTTTAATCATATTCTCAATTATAGAGACTTGTGTTTGTTTTAAAGGTGTTTTGAAATTTACCACGTCAATGTCATCTGAGGATGCAATCCAAGATGAAACAGTCCTTTTTGAGATGGATTTCAAGGCTTCGGTTGGGAGAATTGGAGTGATTCTCTCAACATTAGGCTCCTCGATATTTCTCACAACAGCAAAGGTCTCAACACTGTTCAAAAGAGAAGAGGACAGTTAGGGAGAATAGTCCCATTTGAACAATGCAGATAGAAGTCATGATTAGGCATTTCAAAGTTACAGTCTGATGCAAAAGGTGAGGCTTACTTCACAGATGTAATGTTTTCAGGCACAGACACAGGAAGAGCTTCAATCTTGAAGTCGCCATCCTTGATGTTGAGTCTTGCAGCAATCTTGGCTGGCATAACAGAGTAGACTTTAGCTCTTGTTACCAGAGCGGCCTGGAGAATGGCAGTGTTGACCCCCATCACAGCATATGTGTTCACAGCAACACTAAAGAGAAAAGAAAGTGTTCAGTTTAACAACCTGGACTTCTTAATCCTCATTCAGCAAGTGTTGGAAATTAAACTTACCTTGGCCTGATCTCAGACTCCAACTCAATATCTGTCTCCAGAAGTTTGCTGAGTTCGAAGTCCTCTGGCAGATGTGGTGATGTGGTGGGCTTGACTATGGAAACAGAATTATTTTGAGGCTACTTTTTAAATAAAATTTCACACCAGACAACGTTGAGGATTGTATACATTTTGTATGATGTAGTCTATCTGAAAAAGTCCACACAGTTTTATGCCAAACAGATTATTTACTGATTAGTTACTCACTCTTAATAGCAGCTGCGGCCACAGCAGCGGTGTACAGACTGAGCTCCATTGGCAAACCGGCAGCAGTGGGGAGGATGCGGCGCACCTCAGCAGCCAGCATAGGTTTAGCATAGTGGAAGTCGATATCAGAGTGGAGCAGAGTCTTGAGAACTTTCTTTCCATATTCCTTAATAGGGACTTCCCTGGCATTCTGCAGGGGGGTAAAATTCATCATGAATGTTGTGTGAAAAACTTTGCCTTGAAGTTGATATGGTGATGTCCATTTCATACCTCAGCAACCCAGTCAATCATGACTTTGTCAACATTGGCAAAGGCAATCTCTTGTCCAAAGAACTTGATGTAGACTGAAGCCAGAGGTTCAGTGTTTGGCTGGGACCTCCAGTTAGACAGCTGTGAACAAAGAAACAGAAACCTGTTCCAAGATGTGTGACTGTGTAATGATTTATCCTTTTGTAAGTGACTCGTGGTTTAGCTTACAGCCTTGATGACGCGCTTCATTTTGGTGATCCTGTCAGCATCGTCGGACAGTGCAGGGTTTTTGAGAAGAACCTCTTGAAGCCCCTCAGTTTTCACTCCAATCTAACCAAGTAAAAGTGACTGATGTTAAAACAGGAACCTAAAATGTAGTTACAAAGCAGCTTGTTAGCTGTCAAATTTCCTGTACCTCCAGGACATCAGCAGCAGCTCCAGCAAGGAAGGCGCTGATCTTGGCAACAACGGTTCTTGGGAGAATAGTGGCGGCATCATTGATGTAGAAAGCAGTGGAAGCAGCACCGAGCATCAAGGTGTCTGATGAAAAGTTGAGTGAGTGAGGCCGTGCTTACTCTAAAAAATCAGCTGAAATATTTGTCATTTTAGAAATGGCTTACTGTTGTAGTAGTCAGCATGGATGGCTTTACTGAAACGGAAACTCAGTCTATCCAGCTTGGAACCCAGGATTTTCATAGCAACACTGCAAGCTTCAGACCTGTGATGGAAGCACAAAGATATTAACATCAGTGAATAAGGATGTTCATCTTTGTTCTCTGACAATGACACCCAGATAGCTCACTTACACTGATGAGTGGATGGTGCTTGGGCTTCTGCTCAGGGACTTCATGTGAGAGTAGGTGAAGCTGGCAACCTGCAAGTTCTCCTCAGTTTTTACAGCGTTGGCAATAGTGGTCACCAATCCCATAGAAGGCCTTGTCTCAAAAATGACAATGCATGAAAGCATACGAAGCTCTGGGTGGAGAGCCTTGTCCATGTAGAGCTGAAGGGCCAGTTCCTGAACCTATTTCATAAAAGAAAAGCATGCTTTGTAAGCAGACTGGATGAAATGGCATGACCCATTGACATTTTTAAGACTGAGGTCTCACCTGTCTGTGCTCCTTCTTTGCAATGTTCCTCAGAGCCATGATGGCCTCAGCGTGGACTCTCATTGGCAGAGATGCAGCAGCAGTGCCATGAATGGGCATGAGCTTTGTGATTGACTTGAGACTAGCAGGATGTCCAGCATTTCCCAGAACCTTAATGTACAGGATGATCTTCTCTATCTCACTCTTAGCAACAGCTTCAGCAAGACGGTCCAGGATGGGCTGTGGAGGGAGATGGAATGTCAAAAGCTCCATTTCTTTTAAAACATTTTCCTCAAATTATGAATCAAGAAGGATATCTCACCTTTATGAGTTCAGCAGGACAGTCAGACTCAACACACTCTTTAGAAACCATGGTACCGTAGCCAAGGAAGATGATCTCACGCAGAACTGGGTTTTCCACGACTTTGTGGTTGGTAATCAGTGACTAAAGAAATGCATAAAGAAGAAATGTTTCATGCATTGTTTCATCCTCTTAACAATGTCACTTATTTGTTGTTTACCAACCTCAAAAATCTTGATAGTCTCAGTGTCTGCTGTGACCATGTGCACGGCTGTGGCGAAAGCCTGAACTGCCTCAATAACACTAATCTCTTCAGCCAAGAATTTCTCCTTGATGAGTTCCAGGGCATCAGGAGTTCCAACGGCAGGGATGGCCTCCAAGAACCAGCGTCTAAATGAACGAAAAAAACATTACGTTTCTATAAAAATACCCATTATTTTCATTGCCTGCTATTTGTTATGTGACAGAAGTCCACCTTTGAGTGGGCATCTTTTTGATCTGATTCCAGTTCATCTCCAGGTCTTCACGGCGAACTTTACGCAGGATTTGGATCAGTTCCAAAAACTTCAGAGGGGCATCCTCATGAACAATCTCAGCATCATGGGATACCAGGTGATTCAAACTCTCCATAATCTAAGAACATAAAATTGACACAGTGCCATTGTTGTAAGTGAAGTTTTGCATATTTTCCTTTTTATGGTTTTGATCAGTCTGAATTTCTACCTGGGCCTTAGCATTGCTGATCTTGATAAGCTGAAGGGGTGTCTCGAGAAGTTCGTCAGAGAACTCATACATGAGAGATCCACGTTGATGATACTCAGCCTTTATGGTTGGAATAAGCTCTTTCTTGACCTCAAGGAACACTAAAGACTGCCTTTGGAGTAAAGTGGAAATGGTAAAGGCAAGTTACATCTGTATTCATCCCGGATAATACAACTTCATTCTCAGGTTCTCAGGAAGATTTAACTTACTTTGTTTTCATCTCAGCATCTCCATTTCCCTCAGAGAAAGGTGAAAACTGGATCAGCTCATTGGCTTCTGCCTTCAGGATCATCAGGCCACTGGGAACTGGTTTCAGGACGTAACTGTATGTTGTGGTACCTTTCAGGTTCCTGGATTCCTGTTCATACAATCACATGTTCAGGCACGGTTCTGATTTCACACATGTTTACTTTGCATTTAATAAGCTTGAACTTACCCTCTGGCATGTTTCACATTTCTCAGTGTATGCCAACCCAATATCCTTCATGATCCTTTCATGGCAGTGGTTCATGTCCCTGGTCTTGGTCAGAAGGATGTTTTCAAGCCGCTCATCTTCGTTGATGGAATACAGAGTCTTGCACACACCCTGAGTACTGGCCTGTAAAGCACAGCAGGTATTTAGTATCACTATTTAATTTCTTGTTTTAGATATACATAACAAATGGACCACCAACACTTGACCAACCTCCTGCAGATCGTAGACTTTGTGGGTCTTCTTGATGTTCAGTTCCAGAATATTCAGCAGGCCTCTGTAAATGTTCAGCACCAAAGTCGAGATTTCCTCAGGAGCGAAGATTTTTCCAATAGCACCGTTGGTATACTCAAACTTGATGGGAATTGCAAACTGAGGTGCTAGGGCTGCCTTCAGCTTGGTAGCTGGCTCTGCTGGGTCCTTTGGCCAATAGCCGCTGTACTCATAGAGCTCAGGTTCCACAAGCTGCAATGTTCACATTTACAATCAGAAAAAAACATATTTTAATTACAAAAGTAAAAAGGGAAAACTTCTGCTATTGGTCTTTAGTACTACCTTCAACACATATGTATTCTGGGCTTCATTACTGATGAGAACTTTGGTGCTGATTTTGATTCCAGCTCTCGCCAGATCTTCTTCAGGAAGTCCACTCATGATGAAAGCTTCATACTTGTACACATATGTTTTACCGGCATCAAACTCGGGGGCTGTAAACACAGATTTGCTCAGTTAAAAGATATAATTCTTATCTTTCACAATAATAGCTTGAACCATAAATAATGGCACATGCAACGAAATAATTAAATTGTTCTTATTATTATCTATGAATGAAACAGCTTTTTGAGATTACAATAAAATTTTGAACTTACCAAAAGGAGGACTCTGGGCGGCTAAAAGGGAAATTAAAAGGAATTTGATTACAGATTAAGACATTTGTGTTAATAAACAACATAAAGCTGTTAACACTCTGTTGCAATACCTTTTACCTAATAATGTTGTGACTGCCTTGTGTTTTTTCCCCAGTGTTTAATTGATTTGTTTATCTAAAGATTGTCATTACTGCAGTAAGTTACATATCAATGTGTAAATAATTATCTAAATCTAGCTATTTATTTTATTTAAAACATGTTTAAAAATGAAAACTTTATTAATCATCAGCACTTTAGCATGACATTTATTGCAAGCCATAAAATTCTGATAAAATGTATTTTTAATACCCCCAAAAGTGAAAGGGGGCCTCTCAACAACTAAAGTTGCTCGGTAATCAGCCGTCAGCCATGCACTTTCCCAAATGCAGAATCCGACTTACCCACAAAGGCCAGGGCCAGGGCAAGCACAACCGCTTTCATGGCTGATGGGCTTGTGACAGTCTGTGGTGACAAGCTGCCTTTTAAAGGGAAGCTCTGAACTCAAAAACGCTGCAGGTGTGATGCAACGATGCACATTGTGGACTCTTGCATGTTTGATTATTGCACTTGATCCGATAACTTATTAATGGTTTAGATGAAAACACATTTGGGGTTTTATTTAGACAGCAGTCATTGAAGTTGAGGTCACCTGACCTTGTTCTTTAATTCACATCAGAGTTTGAGCTTCATGCTCCACGATGTTTATGCAGTTTCAGGAGTAAACATATGTAAAATTGTATTCTTCTAGTGGCTGTTAGTATTATGTGACTGTGACTGGATACAGAGCAGATGGAAAAAACAATAATACAGTAGAAGTTATTGTGAATAGAATTAGCATGTATTTATTAATGTGCAGATTGATTTTATATCTTCAGGTAGTGTTTTTAGGTTATTCTCCATAATATTTCCCATTTAACAATTCACCACCCCCTAATGGACAAAACATTGAAATATTTACCTTTTTTGCTGTTTTAAAAATGAATTCAGTTCAATGTTTTGTGGCATTAATTAATATTTTTTTTTATTTTGTTAGGTTCAGGGCATGTGCAAGATACAAGAACTAAATATACTCTTTAAAATGCTACCATTGTGCTGCATCAGGGTAAAAAACAGGATCCACACAATTTTGTTGGGATAGTTACACTTTATTAATATATATGTTTAAATGTGCAGTCTTAAACTTGTTTAATATATTGTAACACGCAGATAATTACATACACTGTAAAAATGTTTAAGCTGGTTTGAAGAAACGAAAGATCATTTTTAAAATGTTTAAATAAATATGTGAATCAATATCAAATCATTTTTGGCAAACATCTTGGAGAACTATTCACAAAACCTCTGTAAATCTGGTCTAGCTCAGATCTTCTTTTGCTTCTTTATGTAATAAAATCAAATTAAAATGAGAAATGAAAAACAAGATGACTTTACAGTTGTGAAGCATTTTTACATTCATGACAGCAATACCTTAAATCTGCACAAAAACTTTGTACTGTTCTGTACTTTACATACACATATCTTGAATTTTAAGTTTTGACCAGTTATTGCTTTCATTACTCAGAGCAGAGCTTTGTGGATAGATTCAAAGCTATCCATCATTATAGTCTCAAAGTTCACATAGAAAGGCATCCTCCTGAACATGGCTGTTTGCTCATTTTGTTTGCTCTGGTCACTGTGACCACTGAGGTCAGGACATTTTAACAGGTCTTTTTTATTTAATTGATAAAGTTTTGTTCGTTAACCATTTTCTTTATATATTGAAATGTTTATTTTGGCTCTGCCATTTTCCCTTAAACTTAGTCCAGCAGTTAGGAATAAAGTGGAACTTATGGTTGTTCAGGTTATTCAAAGCACCAAAATACCCATAGTCATATAAAAAATAAAAATAAATAAAAATTTTAATAATTAAAGTTCTGGATTGTTTTGTTTGTTTATGTCTAAATACATATTCATCAAATAGTCATGTAAATGTGTTTTCTGTTTTCCACATTACTGGACTTTAAAAATAGTAATCAAACTATTAGGCTGAAAAAGCATAACTTGAATATATTTCTGGATTTGTCATTAAGCACTATTTCTCACACCATTCTGCACATCTGGAATTACATTTTCAATTCAGTTCAATTCAAGTTTATTTATATAGCTCCAAATCACAATGAGTCGTCTCAAGGTACTTCACATCGTAAAATTCCAATACAGGTCAGTTCATTAAGCCAATCAGTAAAAGGTTTCCTATATAAAGGAATTATAGAATAATAGATTCTCTGGTGCCTTTGCTGTAAAGTCACTGATGTCAGTGACTTTACAGCACACACCAACATCCCCCCCCCCCCCCCCCCCCCCTCTCACACACACACACAACATATATACCAAGTAGTGTTTCTATGGTTACATTGTGATTTCTTAGTAAATATTCTATTTGGTGAGAGATAAACTTTATTGTAATTATCCTAGTGAATCTATAATTAAACGGGTAAACTAGTAGTAGCACATTCAATGTCAAAGAAAATAAAATGTTGTTTCAGGAGAAGGAGAATGTTTAAGTGGTTAGCAGCAGTGTTCAAGCCGATGGCCCCCTCCATGAGGCCACCACAGCTCAGCAGAACACCATTGTAACTTCTTCTGGGGAGAAAACACTTAAGAGAAAAAAAAAGTTAACAGCTGAAATAGCAGGAAATAATGCAGTTAAAGAGCAGATTGTAGAAGAAAGTTGTAGAGTGTGGAAAGTGGTCAGTATGCCCTCCAGCAGTCTAAGCCTATAGGAGCATACCATAACTACAGAGATAACTCAGGATACAGCCTTTTAGATGGAGGAATGCTTTCTCCAGAGAATCAATAAAATTATGGACAAAGCTGATCATTCTCTTCACAAGACTGTCCGACAATGGAAAAGTGTCTTCAGTCAGAGGCTTCTTCAGTTTCACTGCAACGCTGAACGCTACTGGAGATCCTTCCTGCAAACAGCCATTGTAATATACTACAATAACTCTTTGATGACTTGATTATTATTATTATTTTGAGCTACTACAGCAATCAATTTCCCTCTGGGATTAATGAAGTATTATTGAATTGAATTGAATTGCATTGAATGTTGGAGGCAGGGCAAGGCACCGAGGACGTATCTTCCTGTTTGTTTACCTGAGTGGTGCACTGGCACGGGGCCAAACAATGATTCCACTCATGGCGTTTCCAGCGATGTTCATCCTGTGCCGGGAAAATGTCGGAGGAAAAGAGGTAAATGAGCAGGAATTCAGGTGGGAATAAGACTTCTCCTAAAGCGTGGTTTATCTAGTAAACATCGGCGTGATCTTCTAGCTTCTTGTCCTTTATTTGGCAACTTGAGCGCCACTTCCGCATTCCCGCTAGGCCGCGTTGCCGTGCGGTTTCTCCGTCCGAGTTTTTTAAGGTTGGTTTATCTTCACTCCTCAGTGGTCTCTCCTCCTGTTTCCTCCATAAGTGGTTTTTATAAACACCGTGGATCTAACCCTGCTAATTTCCACTAACTCCAGCTGTTTCTGATTCCTCCACCTCACTCAGCATGGCTCTATTAAATAGCCGCTCTGTTAACAACAAGTCCTTCCTGCTCAATGATCTAATTCTCTCTAAAAACCTGGATTTTCTGTTTCTGACTGAAGTTTGGCAGCAAACATCTGATTATTCTGGTCTGATTGAACTCTGCCCGAGTGGTTATTCTTTTCTTAGCCAGCCCGAGGTTCTGGCCGTGGTGGAGGCCTAGCTGTTGTTTTCAGAGACCATCTTCCATGTAGCTCTACAACCTCTGGTCACTTTGCTTCCTTTGAACTGCAGCTGATTAAAGTCGGGCGTAAGGACCCGTTCTACTGTGCTGTGGTTTGTCCACATGGTCCAAACAGTTCTTTCCTTCAGGAACGTAGTCCTCTGTGAAGCTGTCCAGACTAGTGATTATGGGTGACTTTAACATCCACGTTGATGATCCCTCTGATCACTTTGCCATGAATTTCTCCAGCCTTATGGACTCCTTCAGTTTTACCCAGCATGTTTCTGGCCCCACACACACCAGGGGGCACACTCTGGACCTTGTTTTTACCCTGAGTCTAAATGCCAACAGTGTTTGTCCTGAGGACATTTACATTTCAGATCACCATTGCATTTTCTTTAACTTGTCAGTTTCTGCGTCCCCACCTCCTACTCGCCGTATGGTTAGTTCTCGTTTTCTTAATGAGAGCACAGCTAGCAATTTTTCTGCTGCTTTTGATCCACCCTGCTCTTCTGATAATGACCCAGATTCCTTAACTTCTCAGTTTAACGAGCACTGCCTCTCCATTCTGGACAACATCTGTCCTGTCAGAACCAGATCAGTTCCTGCAGTGAACCCTACTCCCTGGTTTAATGACAGCCTTCGCAGCCTAAAGCGCCAATGCAGAAAAATTGAGCACTTGTGGAAGAAAACCCATCTCCACGTCCATCTGCTGCACCTAAAGGATCTTCTGACGTCATTTAACTCTGCAGTCAGAGACGCTAGGGTTTCCTGTTTCTCCAACCTGGTGTCCCAGAGCAAAGGGAACCCCAAGGTGCTGTTTAACACCATCAGCAGTATCGTCTGTCCTGCCTCTCCTACAGCCTCCATCCACTCTTTTGCAGTCTGTGAGAACTTTCTGTCTTTCTTTGTGGACAAAGTCAATAAGGTTAGATCTAGCATCTCTCCTTCAGCCTTATCGCTGCCTCTCCCGACTCCAACCAGGCCCATCATCCTAGATGGCTTTGCTCCTGTTTCTTTGCCTGAGTTAACCAAACTAGTTAACTCTATGAAGACCTCTGCATGCCCCCTCGACATCTTACCCTCATCATTGCTTAAAAGTGCTTTTCAGTCCATCGGTCCCAGCGTGCTCTCTATAATTAATGCTTCTCTTGTTTCTGGTCAGGTCCCTGCTTACTTTAAGAATGCTGTAATCCACCAGCTTCTTAAAAAAATGAGTCTTGACCCCTCTCTCCATAGCAGCTTCAGACACCTCTCTAAACTTCCGTTCATCTCCAAGACCTTGGAAAAGGTTGTGGCTAAACAACTCACAGCTGCTCTTGATTAACATAACATCTATGATAGCTTACAGTCAGGTTTTTGTAGAGCTCATTCTACTGAAACAGCTCTTCTGACTCACAGTGATGCAGGGGACTGTTCTGTTCTGGTCCTGTTGGACCTGACTGCAGCCTTTGGCACTGTTGACCATCGCCTTGCTAATGGAGAGGCTGAGAGTCTGGGTAGGCCTGTCAGGAACTGCTCTGGAGTGGTTCTCTTCTTATCTTTCTGAGCGTTCCTTTTCTGTGACCGTGTCCAAGTTTAGGTCATCCACCGCTTCCCTTACCCATAGTGTCCCACAAGGTTCTGTGCTGGGGCCTCTGCTCTTCCTCCTCTATCTGTTCTCTCTCTCTCCAGCAAATCCTGAGCTCATTAAAAGGAATCTCCTACCATCTTAATGCAGATGACATCCAACTGTACATCTCCTTTAATCCCCATGAGATGTCTAAGCTGCAGCGGTTACACACC